TGCCCAGGAAGGGCTGGGGTGCCGGGTGGCAGCAGCAGGTAGAGAGCTGGGCCCAAGGGAGCCGGGTGCACCATGGGGAGGACTTCGCTTGCAGGGCAGTTGGTTTCTGGTTTGACCCCCTTGCTGGCCACTATGCTCCTGGGCCTCAGTTTCCTCCTCCAGCCTCTCTGTGTGCGCGCGTGGGGCGTGTGCATGTGTTCCCCCATGTGCGGGGCGTGTGCATGTGTTCCCCCATGTGCGGGGCGTGTGCCGGTGCGTCTGTCCGTGCAGGGGGCTCCCTTTGTGCTGGCTCCCACCCTCTGCCAGGCAGTTGGTGCTCTTGGCTCAGTGACGGTGGCCCCTCGTGGCGTTGGCCTCTCCCGGGGAGAGGGGCAGGTCGGGCCATTTCTATTTGTTTTTAAATGTCTAGTTCAAAATCCCCCCCCCCGACGAACCCCTTCATCTCCCATTCATGGAGTCTCCGCTGCCTGTGGAGCGCAGGGGTGCGAGGGGGCTGGCGAAGCCCCCGGTGGCGGGAGCTGGCTCCGAGGGCCGGCTGGGGGAGTGGGGAGGGCAGGGCCTGCATCTGACTCAATTCCTCGGCTCCTTCCTATGGCCTGGAAACGTCAATTCGCATCTGCCAGGCTAGGAACCCGCCTTCCCTGCACCTGGCTCCGAAGCCACCCAGGCTCGGTGGAGGGAGGGGGCCAGAAACATCCCCATCTGCCCCAGGAACGGTCGGTGGCTGCGGGCCCATGCTGCCGGGGGAGGCAGCCATGCTGGGGAACCGGCCAGGTCAGGGGCCTGGGCCTGGCATGTGGGTAACCCGGAGCCCTGGGCTCTCGGAGGGGGGCTGCCGGGGCTTTGGGGCCACGTGTCCCTGAGGCTGGCGTCTCTCGTGGTGCTGTAGTGACGAGAAGTCCTGTGGCGCCTTATAGACTAACAGAATGAGTGGAGCATGAGCTTTCGTGGGCAGAAACCCACTTCCTCAGATGCACGTCGTGGAAATTCCAGAGGCAGGTGTAAATAAATATCCAGGCATAAGAAGAGTTCCAGTCAAGAGTCGGGCTAGAGATAACGGGGCCATTCAGTCAGGCAGGATGAGGCCCACTTCCAGCAGCCGATGTGGAGGTGTGAACACCAAGAGAGGAGAAACTGCGTTTGTAGCTGGCCAGCCATTCACAGTCTGTTTTACCCGCAGCTGATGGTGTCGAATTTGCAGATGAACTGTCGCTCTTCGGTTTCCCTTTGAAGTCTGGTCTTGAAGTTTTTTTGGTGCAGGGTGGCTACCTTATCACCATTCCTGATATCCTGGTGCTTTCACCCCCTGGTGCCAGGCCTCGGGGCTGGGTGCCAGGCACCCCTGGGGCAGTGGCATGGGCTAGTTCAGCCGGGAGATAAACGCCGGAGCATCTCCATGGCCCACCCTAGCTGTGCTGCGGGGCACCCCACTGAGGTCTGGACTGCTATGTGGGGTGACGCGGGGCGGTGGCGAGCACGTGGGGGGTGCAGGCAGCCTTCACAGGCAGGGGAGCTGGGGTGCTCCCGGCACATCTGGGGCCTTCCCCCGGCTCTCGCAGAACGGAGGGGGGCTGGCAGCGTCACGTCCCAGGCTGCATTGGCTTTTCATCCCCACGTGAGCTGCACCGGGCCCTGGACTGGGGGGCAGCCATGTCCTTCATTCTGCAAAGCCCCTGGCGCTGCCCCCCTTCCCCCACACAGGCACGCGCTGGGGCGCCCTCCCCCCCTGCCAGGGACAGACTGGCTGCTCTGCAGGTGGCATAGACCCTGGTGTCTCCCTTCTGCATGCAGCACAGCCCCAGGAGGGGGTCAGAGCAGACTTGGGCTCGCCCACCCCTGCCTGTGGCTTTGCCCTGCCCCCCAATCTCCTAGTGCAGTTCCCCCCTTGCCGTCTCCCCTCCCCCCGGCGCCCTGCTGCACGCAGGGCGCCTATGGGGGGGGGCTGGGCCCCTCCGCAGGCAGCGACTGGACCCCTGACCTTGCGCCCTCTTCTCCCCCAGCCATCGAGACGCAGAGCACCAGCTCCGAGGAGATCGTCCCCAGCCCCCCGTCGCCGCCCCCGCTGCCCCGGCTCTGCAAGCCCTGCTTCGTGTGCCAGGACAAGTCCTCGGGCTACCACTATGGGGTGAGCGCCTGCGAGGGCTGCAAGGTGAGTGCGGGCTGGCGGGGGCAGGACGGGGGGTTCCGGGAGGCCAAGCAGCCATCGAGACGCAGAGCACCAGCTCCGAGGAGATCGTCCCCAGCCCCCCGTCGCCGCCCCCGCTGCCCCGGCTCTGCAAGCCCTGCTTCGTGTGCCAGGACAAGTCCTCGGGCTACCACTATGGGGTGAGCGCCTGCGAGGGCTGCAAGGTGAGTGCGGGCTGGCGGGGGCAGGACGGGGGGTTCCGGGAGGCCAAGGTGGCCCCGCAGCAGGTAACGGAGCCCGGGGGCGCCCTATTTTGCGCTCAGCTCCTCTGTGCGCTTTCACTGGGCCCTCAAAGCTTCCATTGCCCTGCCTGTAAAACAGGGTACCCCTTCTTAGCCCGGCTGATCAGCAGAGCGCCCACTGCTAGGCTGCAAGTTCCTCCTGGTGGTGCACATTCGCTCATGCGTCGGTGCACGAAAAAAAAATATTCTGCACATGGGCGGAAAGGATTCGAGGGAACATTGCTTCTCACTCTCTCCCGGCGCAGCCAGGCAGCAGCCTCCAAGCCGGGTGTTTTGCTGACAGCTCAGCTGGAGTGCCACCTAAATCACCCCTTGGACAAGGGGAAACTGAGGCACGGGGCGACCTGCCTTCGCTTCCCAAGGTTTGCCAGGGGGTCTGCGCTAGGAATAGGGTTAGGGTTAGGGTTCTTGTACTAACCACAAAGACATCCCCCCCCTTACAGCCCCACAGTGGGGCTGGGCTAGATGGATTCAGTCCCCCTGCTTGCCTGGGTGCCATGTAGCCGCACTGCCCCAGTCCGTGCAACTCAGGGCCTTGGGGGGAGCACAGGGCTGGGAAGAGCACCCCCTGCTCCAGCCTCGCGGATCAGCGAGCAGTGTGGAGCTTAGCCCGGCTCTGCGGGGGATTAGCGCTAAATAGTGCAGCAGCTGCTGGCTCTGGCTGTGTCCCAGCGCCAAGGTTCAGCCGGCGTCACCGCCTCTGCGTAGGGGTCAGGATGAAGGGCACGGGTTTGCGCGCGTGGAGCACAGGGCTGGGAAGAGCACCCCCTGCTCCAGCCTCGCGGATCAGCGAGCAGTGTGGAGCTTAGCCCGGCTCTGCGGGGGATTAGCGCTAAATAGTGCAGCAGCTGCTGGCTCTGGCTGTGTCCCAGCGCCAAGGTTCAGCCGGCGTCACCGCCTCTGCGTAGGGGTCAGGATGAAGGGCACGGGTTTGCGCGCGTGTCGGTGTCGCGCACCCGGCCCCTGCCAGCTCCCGCTCTCGTGTGCCCTCAAGTGCAGCTGGCTAGCCCTCCGCCGGCGTGTCCCAGTGTGTCGCCGGCGTGGGCTGCACGGGGGGCCGGTGCTGTCTGGCCCCGGGGCGCTGTGCGCGTGGGAGCCGGGAGCTAATCCCTCGGCGCGGATGTGCGGGGCTCCGTGCTCAGCTGCTCTGCATCCTTCAGCACTTCTGATTTACATTCCAGCAGCGGCTGGGCCGGGGCCAGCCCGGGGGCGGGGGAGGAGCGTCTGGCTGCAGCGTCACACATGTCTCCTGGCTCCAGCGCCCACAGCCAAGCTCTCGGCTGGGCTCCCATTTCTGGGCCCGTCCCACTAGCCCAGCTCTCCAATTCGCTCCTGGGGAGGCAGGGGCCTTGCGGCCGAAGCATAAGGCTGGGGGAGGGGGAAGGGATCAGTTCCCAGCTCTGCAACAGATGCTCTGCGCCTCAGTTTCCCCAATCTATGGAAAGCTGGTGATTTTGTGTGTGGGGTGCTTCTGCTCTTCATAGCAAGCCCTGATCTCGGTCGGGGTCTGGGCAGCGCCCGGCAGGACGGGGCCCTGATCTCGGTCGGGGTCTGGGCAGCGCCCGGCAGGACGGGGCCCTGATCTCGGTCGGGGTCTGGGCAGCGCCCGGCAGGACGGGGCCCTGATCTCGGTCGGGGTCTGGGCAGCGCCCGGCAGGACGGGGCCCTGATCTCGGTCGGGGTCTGGGCAGCGCCCGGCAGGACGGGGCCCTGATCTCGGTCGGGGTCTGGGCAGCGCCCGGCAGGACGGGGCCCTGATCTCGGTCGGGGTCTGGGCAGCGCCCGGCAGGACGGGGCCCTGATCTCGGTCGGGGTCTGGGCAGCGCCCGGCAGGACGGGGCCCTGATCTCGGTCGGGGTCTGGGCAGCGCCCGGCAGGACGGGGCCCTGATCTCGGTCGGGGTCTGGGCAGCGCCCGGCAGGACGGGGCCCTGATCTCGGTCGGGGTCTGGGCAGCGCCCGGCAGGACGGGGCCCTGATCTCGGTCGGGGTCTGGGCAGCGCCCGGCAGGACGGGGCCCTGATCTCGGTCGGGGTCTGGGCAGCGCCCGGCAGGACGGGGCCCTGATCTCGGTCGGGGTCTGGGCAGCGCCCGGCAGGACGGGGCCCTGATCTCGGTCGGGGTCTGGGCAGCGCCCGGCAGGACGGGGCCCTGATCTCGGTCGGGGTCTGGGCAGCGCCCGGCAGGACGGGGCCCTGATCTCGGTCGGGGTCTGGGCAGCGCCCGGCAGGACGGGGCCCTGATCTCGGTCGGGGTCTGGGCAGCGCCCGGCAGGACGGGGCCCTGATCTCGGTCGGGGTCTGGGCAGCGCCCGGCAGGACGGGGCCCTGATCTCGGTCGGGGTCTGGGCAGCGCCCGGCAGGACGGGGCCCTGATCTCGGTCGGGGTCTGGGCAGCGCCCGGCAGGACGGGGCCCTGATCTCGGTCGGGGTCTGGGCAGCGCCCGGCAGGACGGGGCCCTGATCTCGGTCGGGGTCTGGGCAGCGCCCGGCAGGACGGGGCCCTGATCTCGGTCGGGGTCTGGGCAGCGCCCGGCAGGACGGGGCCCTGATCTCGGTCGGGGTCTGGGCAGCGCCCGGCAGGACGGGGCCCTGCAGCCCAGCCCACGGGGGCCCATGTGGCCCCATTGGAGCTGCTGGGCTGCCCCCCTCGCTCACTGGGGCTGTGACCCGGCTCTTCCAGGGCTTCTTCCGCCGGAGCATCCAGAAGAACATGGTGTACACCTGCCACCGCGACAAGAACTGCATCATCAACAAGGTGACGCGCAACCGGTGCCAGTACTGCCGCCTCCAGAAGTGCTTCGAAGTGGGCATGTCCAAGGAGTGTAAGTGTCCAGAAGAACATGGTGTACACCTGCCACCGCGACAAGAACTGCATCATCAACAAGGTGACGCGCAACCGGTGCCAGTACTGCCGCCTCCAGAAGTGCTTCGAAGTGGGCATGTCCAAGGAGTGTAAGTG